TATACTATTTTTTTTTTTTTTTTAAATAATATATATAATTCTATATATAGAAAATTACTAATTATATTATTTTATATTATTAAAAACTACTTTATTTTTTAAATTATTTGGAGTACAATTTACATACATTTGTTAAGCAATATCACTCAATAGATTATATATTATATTATATAAATAAGTTAATTGAATATTAAGTATTTTTATACGTAAGCATTTGTTTTCTGATCTATTTTCTTTAGTTTTAAGATATACGTATGTTGTTAATATTTTGACATACATTTTTTAACTTAAGTGTATCGATGAATGCCTTACAATGTTATTGTTCATTCAATAGATTCTAATCTATTCATTTGATTTTTTTTTTTAAACTTGGTTCAATAGTCTGTATTATATCTAATAATATATATTGCAAATTCTAAGAATATAAATAATTTATTTGGCTTTGGAGTAAGAAAAATTTGTAATTTTAATGTATGTGGTCTTATCTTCATTGAATGCTTATAAATAATTTGAACCATTCGTTGTATACTGTATATTAAAAAACAGATGCGTTGATCTATTAATATTTTAATTTTATTAACAAAATATTATATCAAGTATGTAATTTTATATAATAATATTATATAATGCTAAAAATAAATATAGATTTATAGTACTCATAATTTTGAAAACAAAATATAGTGTAATATGTAGTAGTAATATATTTTTAATTAGCATACATGAATTAAAAATAAATGATGATGGTGTTATGGGGAAATTAAAAAAAAAATTCCCAATATTAGCAGAGGATTTCGTTCTTCTTATTTAGCAAAACTGGAATATAAATGCAAAGCATATAAATCAGTGAATTTATAATATTTTATTATTAATAACAACAATATTTCTATTGTATTAATTTATAAATAATTAATTACTGTGTGAAAAATTTATTTAAGATTTCTGCAAAACTCAAGATTTCTGAAAATATTATGGAAAAAAAAAGTTAGTCAATATTTTCTACTGTAAGAAAAATAAATTAGAAAATCAAATAGTCGCTTATTATATAGTTTTGAATATTCTCTTTATTTTTATTATTTTTATTTAAAAAATAACATTAAAATTTTAATATCTAGATAGATAAATATTATATTTTATTAATTAATTACAAATCTTACGTTATTATTGTTTAATTACAAAAAATTTATATTATCTTAATATATTATTAATAGAATTATATTTATTGTAAATTTAATGGATTTATAATATAATTTTGAAATTCGTTATTAATGGGCACAAAAAATTAGAATGTTCATGAATTTTGATTATGAAAATAAATATGATTTTTATATTACAATATAGAAATATAAAAACTGTTCATCGATCTTTAAATACAATACATTTTTAAGATCTGCTATCATTTTTCTGAATTTCATTAAAAGTCAATACAAATCATTTCAATATTGTTTAACTCATATCCGCTATATATATATATATATATCTTTTTACCATTGGCTCTTTCTCTTCCTTTCATTAATCCTTTGAAGTGACCTTTCATACATTAATTATTACATATTATATAATTGATAAGGTACAATTTATTTTCATAATTGTAATTAAAATGTATCAAATTAATAACATAATTTTTATCAAACATTTTTATGCATCAACATAATTTATAAAAAAAAAAAAAAAAAAAAAAAAAAAAAAAAAAAAAAAAAAAAAAGTAGTTACTGATCCAATTTATAACATGTCACTTTAACGCTAAATTTTATTTACAGTTAGTATTTATTACAAACTTATTATCAAAGTCTTTCAATTATTTACTAATTGACATACAATTATCACTTTTAATATTGTTTTCCATGAGAGATTTATCAACTATGTTAAAGCATATTAAATATTTTTTTATATTAATTATTTCTTTATCTGTACTTTGATATCGCATTTAATGATTGCCTGTAAAATATTTGAATACTTGTGAAATATAGATTAATCAAGCTTTAATTAATCCAATTTATAAGAATCGATTGAAAAAATTTATAGATAAAGGATTGAATTGAAATATACTATAAGACAGTTTGAAAACGTGTTATCATATGTTCATTAAATATTTTCTATCATATTCTTATAAACTGTGATACTTTTATCTTCTACACATAACAACTTTTAATTAAATATATATTTGAAAATATATAAAAGACTTTCAATAATATTAAAAATAATTTTAAAATAAGTTTTGAATGAAAGAGATGATAAAAAATTATAATAATAAATCGAGAATATCTATATTGCATGAAATATATTCTTTCAATGTTATACAATATAATTACAACTATTTATTTATTCGATTTCATTCTCTAACAAAAAAGCTTTTATAAATTTAGTTTTTAAAAATGTGAATAATATTTTTATTAAATAAGACATCGAACACCATATATTTTTTCTTTACCATTTGATAAATTATATTAGCGCTAAATTGACTGGTAATAGCTTTCAGAAAGATTTACACATTTGAATTTTAATTGAAATAGTATACTAGAATTACGATGTAGAAATTCATTTATTTGTATAATAAAGAAAACGTTACTATTCGATTTAATTATTCCAATGGAAAAAGATCGATTGTTTATGTAATGAGAATATAAAATAAGATAATCTATTGTAAGAATATAAAATTGTATTTATTGATTATAAGTCAGAAATTATATATCATATAGATCATTCATCATTCACTGTTCATTTAAAATAATAATTATTTTTGCTGTGCATTAATAAAAAGTGTAAATTTTGTGATTAGAGTTCAAGAAGCGAGATAAATCAGATTAAGCGATTGAAATGTATCTGCGTACATACCATTCTTTACAAAATCGTTAATTAGTCATATTTAAGAAACTGAATAGCGTGTCGAATGAAATATTTTCATATATTTTTAGTATTCTTATTTATATGATAACTCATATGTCTTTTAAATTATATCTATAAATGCATAGAAGTATAGATAAATACATAACCATCACAAGAACATCAAATAGTTTATGAAGCTGTCTGGTTTTACTTCGACATATTTGAAAATAATTAATGAAGACTTTCATTTGAAAGAAACATGTATATGTAAGTCGAATTAAAATATTTAAAACAATTTATATAATTTCTATTTAATGATAATTTCATTTTTATTATTCAATCCATGATTAACATGTTACTGTATCCGAGGTAGACTTCGTTCATATGGATCGGAATATTTATAATTGAATTTGTGTGTATTTATATGGATACTTTAATAATATTAAAGAGAAGCAACTATTTTTCTCTTTCGTTCAGACAAATATTTAATAAGTAACATCAACTAATATTTTTATAATTATACTACTTGATCGATATGATACATAATTAATATGTAAAATTATTCATTGATCTTTTTACTTCACAATTATTAATAATACGAGAATTTAATAAGAATAGCATCATAGTAATGATTGCGTTTTTTTTTTATATAATAACTAGTATTTATTATTGAGAGGTTTGATTATTATCAAGGCATATAAGCTATCCTGTTATCGCAATAATATAAATTAATAATAATTTATTAATATCGAGTGACAAAACGTTGCTTTTAATTTATATTATAATATATAAGACTATTTTATGCACTTGTAAGTTTTATTCTTTAATTTTTTTTAATAAACCAAAACTTATTAAGTACATTTTGCAAAAGACGGCTGTCATTACATGAATTTTACATCAGTGTTGATTAAATGTCATAAAAGTTTGTAAAATTAGAAAATTTCAACAAAATCATAATTGACTACTAGATAATAATTAAAAAAAAAAAAATGACACATTTGATTAATTGACTAAATATAGCTAATGAATTCAATAAAAATAGATTTTATTATAATGATAGATGAAAATTTTAAGTTATTATAAACAAAGCACTAAAGTTATGCTTTTATATGACAAAAATGATTGATCTTTAAGAAATTGAACAGTCTAATTAACAGTAAATGAAATGAAATCAAATCGTGTAAATAAAGACGACAGAAATGATGTCCTACCAAATATTCCTCTAAATATTTCAATTGAAGAGTTTAGAATTTATTAATAGAGTTTAGTTACTTTGAAAACACGAACTGTATACTTAATAAAAAAACTGCCAATTATGTATTTAGACAGCGGAGAACAGTCACGCACGTGAATTACTAAACAAAAATAATGTTACTATAAGTGAATGTACTGTTCGTTTAAGAAGATAAGATCCTCGTGAGCGCGTGTGGTATTGTAAAAAAATGATCTCGTCGATCATTTATACTTAGGATTTGATAAGATGGAGGAGTAAGTAGGTAGATCATTAAAGGTAAGCTTATATGGCAGAGCTTGAGTTGTATCGTAGTTGGAAAGCGTTGGGAAATCCGAGGGACTGCTAAAAGCTCCAAGATCGCTCTCTTGCTCCCCTTATTGTTGAGCGTAGTCAAAGGAAAAAGAAAGGAGCTGAAAAATCGTCGCGTGGAGGAGGTAGTCGGTGAAATGCGCGGTGGTGAACGCTCGTTATCAGTCGGGCGCACCTCTTGATCCGTCGGCGCCGGGAACGTCGCGCTCAATTGTCCGGCCTGACGCGATCGGGAGTGTCTCCTTGGGATCGCGACGCGTACACGCATACGCGCGGCTGGCTGCGTTTGGGTGTGTGGGCGGCGATGAACCACGCGGGGAGACAGACGGAAGGAGCATCGGAGAAAGGCGCGAGCTGGAGAAGTCAGGGGTCGGGGGACGTCAAGGCATCGAAGAGGCAACGAAGCGAAGCGGAAAGTGCGAGCGGAGGCTGTGTGAGATCGCGGCGCCGCTCCGGGTGGGGGCTGAGAGCGCGGGAGAACCGCCGAGTGAGCAACAGACAGAGGCAGAGAGAGAGAGAGAGAGAGAGAGAGAGCGGCCAAGTGGGGATGGACAGATCGGCGCGGAGAGGGAAAAAGCATGATGCTTTTGAAAAGTTTTATCTTACCGGCACGCCCGGCCTCTCGGACCTCTCAGACGCTACCGAACACCGGCACGAGGTGTACGCTCGGCTCCTGAACCTGACACGACTTCCTCGTGTCGACAGCGACAGCCTCGCGCGAGCGGCCGTACCTCGACGTCGTCTTCGGGGGGGACTCGGCAGCTCCGGCACGCGTGCGAGGCCGCGCGGGCCCCGATTCATCCAGGTTAGCCGCATCTCGTCATCGCCGCTCAAACAGCCTTACGGAGGAGGAGCCGCGTGCCCCAACCGATCGTCAGGATGAGGGCCTCAAGGAGATCGGCGCATCTACGTATGGCAGTGCTAGTCGCAGCTCTTGTTGCCCTCGTGACCGGCCTCGAGGTAAGGCTCGCGTTCTCACCCGCGACCCTAGACTTCGCTAAGTCAGAGCTCTTCTCTCGTTCGCGAAAAATCTTTGCAAACGACGCTGCCGATTGAATGGTTCTCGAAACATTGACTCATCAGCTCGCGGCCTCATCAAGTGTCAAAAATGCCCGAGATCATCACTTTTGCGAGATCGAGATAAACGGAGGACAGGGCCCGTCGAGTCGAGCCTATCGCTATAGCCTTCGATTTTCTTTTCAGCCTCGTCCATCCTCCTTGCTTTCTAATCGCTATCTATTTATCCTCTCGTCTCTTCGTTTAACTTTCTGTACTCTTACTTATCATCTCAACGATGCTGTCCTAATTGACGGCGACCCACCCCCTCCCACCCACCTTTTAGCTTGGCGTAAATGCGCCCTAAATAAGCCATTATAGGTCAGCGCCATTTTATTAACTTATTTTATTTTTCAGTGCTTATTGAGTGCGTTAAGCCGCTTACGGAAAATTTGCTTCAATAACGGTTTGGCTCCAACCCTAACCATAGGTATCGTTTAGTTTCGTCCGCGAAACTATTCTTTACCGACGAAATACGAGTTATCGGTGCATTGATACGGTAATCGAGCTTACTCCCGTTCACCAAGGCTCGGCTTGGAGTTCAAAGTCTTTAAAAATTAGTCTTCTTTTTCTTCAGTCTTTGCTTCGTTACTTTTGGCAGGCATATTTTTATCGATTGGATATTAAAATTGTCGCTTAGATGGTGTCAGAAAGTTTTTAATCGAGCGCAGACTATTTGTTGAATGACTGATTGTCTGTAATATTGATGTATCAAATTACGTTCATTGATTCTGGGTTTATTTATTTGGATTATCATCTATGTTTGACAGATATATTTAACTTGCGAGACAAATGGAAGAGATGATTTTAAATTAAACATGAAATGCATGCACACTAAACCAATGTAAGCATTTTAATATTAATGTTCACTCTCCTGTTTAATCGTAAGGTAAAAGGTTTGTATGCGCAAACTGACTTATGATTTAGAAGAAATTGAAAACATTCGGATAGCAATATTAGTATTAACTTCGATAACATTAACGATACAACAAAGGGTAATTATTAATATTTATATATATATATATAAATCGTTTTATTAAAGTAATAAATATTATTCTATGTTATTAATACATTATTCTTTTATGATAGAATTAAGAAATTTTTTCAACTTACCTAATTATCTATAAAAAATTATTATTATTTTATTCTTAATAGGATCAAAATCGAAATTATTGAACTCTTTATGTTAGTTTTCATACTTTACAGTTCACTTTTGAGCAAGTAATTATTTTATTTACTTATTGATGAAACAAAGTAAATATTGTAATCCATTTCGAACGTAGTGTATCGTAATACAGTTTTCGCTTTAGATGTTTGTATTAGTTTGATTTTTATTCATTTATCTGTCGAGCAACATTAATCTATAGTACGGTATTATTTATCTTTATCGAAATATTCAAAATGTCACTAACGGAATTATTGTGGGAAACCAGCAACGAAATTGGAATGGCCGTTAGTCACTGGACACCCAATTAGATAATTGTTTATTTTAAATTTTTTACATAAATAATATAAATTTGAATTATTTTTTTTTTCTACGTATTAGTTAAACGAGTAGTAAATGTTGTAATCAGTTAATGTGACAAAGTTTTAACAATAAAACATTTTTCAGTTTTAATTTAAACTAGGACACAATGCGAATTTTATTATTTAGTTCTGTTTGCATTTTCGATAATTATTATATTTAATATTTGAGTATTATTTTAAATAATACTATTCAAATTATCTGCATTAAATATAATATTAATTAAATATATATTTAATTAATATAAATGATATTGATGAATATAACTATTAATATTTATTCATAAGGCTTTAAAAATAACATTTTTATCATAAATCATATATTTATTTCATTAAATATATCGAGTTATTTTTGAAAAATATTTTGTATACATTAAAAATAATTTCTTATTTAGAGTTACAATAATACTTCTGTTAAAAGTATATTAGTAAACATGTAACTATATATTTGAAATATCAAACTATATTAAAAATAATTTGCATGTAATAAATGAAATTTCTAATATATAATAATTAGTAATAAATTTTTACACTCAAAATTATTTTTTGCTTGCGTGTAAATAAATTTGATTTAAAAAAAATCAGAGCACAAAATACAAAGAAATAATCTTTCAATGAAATAATGGTACCTTTAAAACTTTCATTTTTCTTTTCATGAATTAACATTTAATTAAATTTACATAAATTTATTAAACACTTAATTTTTAAATATTTTTTCAATTGAAAGGATTTTATTTTAATTGTCGTAAGTTTTAAGAAAGTGCTATTCTTAAAAGGATTTAAAAATAAATTCTTCATAAATATTAATATTCAAATAGTAATATTTTTAAAAGTATTAAAAATTTAAAAACTTTATCACTTAAAATTGTATTTATAAAGTCAGATTTATTACTGTATTGTATATTAGCAATATATAATGTCATTGGTAATTTCGTCAATTTCAACAAAAAATATTTAATTTCTTTAGGTTAATCTTATAAAATATAGAAATTAATACTTACTTTCCTCAAGTAATAATATATTGCTGTAATATATTACAAAATGGAATGCACGATTAATTAAAAGGAAATAATTGATTTAAATGTATTAAATTATTATAAAATTTCGTGAAATTGGATCTAAGGGTTTAAAAATGTAACTTTTATAAACAATAATGAAATTTGCACTTTTGTTTAGCAACAAGAGTCGAGAACTTTTCTTTTAAAATATCCTTAATAGTCCTTTTTGTGTAAAGTATTTTTATCAGTTCATAAATTAAAAGTTTTAAACGAATGTCGGTAAAAATTCATTTTACAAAAATATGTAATATGTTATTTAATATCTTCATAATTTTTAGTCGGATGAAACTTATTTAAATTCTCCTGTGATTTTAAAGCTTCTTCAATTGAGTTCTTAATTTTGTTTGAATGCCGCGAAGTTCTAGGTGCACGCAGAATTTTTTAATGATTTTCAGATTGATAATTTATCTTATTCAACAATATTTACTGTTATCAGCGCAAATTAAAAAAAAAAACAACTTTATTCTTAAATGATATTGCAGTTTGTTGTATATTTTATTACTCTGGTATTTAAAAGTAAGTCTTTGTTTCATTTTAAATTTTTAACGCGGTATAAATGTGCCACTTTTAAATATTTGAGTTATAAGAGTATTGAAATTAATCATATTAAATTAATTTTTGTTATAGGCATTTAATAACCTAATTAAGTTCATGGTTTTTTGAGTTATCAAATATTTTTATACGTAAATTTAATACTTTATAAATAATTTATAACGAAATGCTTCATATATACATATATATATATTATAAAATATCAAATTTAAAATATTTAAGATCTTCAATAATATGTATTATATAATACAATAATAATGGCATAATATTTACTTATAGAAGAAGTTTTAGTAACAGCTTTCTTATATTATTGGGAATGTTAATATTTACACATATTACGTAATTATAAATATTATTATACAAGGTTCTAAAAATTAATTTTCATAGTATCATAAAGTTTGCTAAAAATTTATTAACATTAATTATATTTTATATTCACTTTAAATATATTTCACATTATATATAAGTGCACTTTTTGTTAATTTCATAATGATGTATCTGTATTATTTTGTAGTTTATTTTACTAATATAAAAAATATGGCCTTGCATTACATTTGTTTAAAATTATTTAAAACATTGTCATGAATGACGATTGGTCATAAAATTTTCTGTTTAATTCTAATAGTCTATTTTTTATTTTTATTATTATTTTTTTATATTTATTATATTATTATATTTATAATTATTATATATATAATATTTATATATATATATATATATATATATATATATATATATATATATATATAAATATAATATATTTATTATAATTCTAACCCTAATAGTCCGATTCTATGTCATGAAAAATACGGATTTTCTTATTGTTAAGATCCTATTATGATACAAATAAATTTGGAATAAATTGGAAAATAATAGATTATGAAATAGTAGATTAATTATTCTACAGTTTATGTTTTTATCTCTCAATATAATTATTTTAGAGAGATACGCTTATTTAGAAAAGAATAAATTAGACAATTTTCAATTTTTTTTCTGAATTGGTAATTGTATAACAATCTTTATTTTAATACTATTTTAATAATAATAAGATTTATAAATATTTTACAAAGCTCTGATATATTTGAAACAATGGTATAAATTATGAATTTATTACGAATCTTAATCGTATCGAAATTATAATAGTTTAAATTAGCATAAACTATAACTTAATATATAGTTTATTAGCAGTACATTTCTTTTCGGTTTACGTTTTATTTTATTTAAACATTTGCAGCTCGAAAATTGTTATATAATATAATTCACTAAGTAAACACTATTTAGAAGTTTTAATATAGTTTTTATCTTGATTGGCATAACTGTATTATAATCGAGTGCTTATAATGTGAATAGAATAATTGACCTAGAAATATAAAAAGCATCATTATTATTTATAAACATGTCAATTACTTTTAAATACTTAGTAAAAAAATTTTTCTTATAAATCAAAAATTATAAATGATTAATTGTAAAAATATAAATTATTAGGCAGTATAGGGAAGGTGTGATTATATTCAAAATAATAAATTTATATCGTAAATTTTTATGCTTTTAAGGACATGATATTATTTTAAGAAAAAGAAATTTAAAGGATTTTCAAAATTTAAGAAAGTTACTCGTACAATTTGTATATTGAATTTTTAAGATAAGTCATTTGTCATATTAATAATATTTTTTACGAAAAATCTATCTTTATTATTTGAAGGCGAATGATAAATATAATTATTTATAAAAAAATTTTTCTATAAATTTACCCAAAAAATCTCTTTGTAT